ATCTATTATCTGGTCTGTTATCTATTATCTGGTCTGTTATCTATTATCTGGTCTGTTATCTATTATATATTATCTGGTCTGTTATCTGTTATCTATTATCTGGTCTATTATCTATTATCTGGTCTGTTATCTATTATCTATTATCTGGTCTGTTATCTGTTATCTATTATTTGGTCTGTTATCTGTTATCTATTATCTGGTCTGTTAGCCACAGCAGCACATCCACATGCCGGTGGGTTTATTATTGTCTGCATGAAGTTCGCTTCTGGTTTGACAGCATGGTAAAGGGCATTTCCACTAAAGTTTGAGTGTCAGGTCCAGCTTCAACAGCTCCACAACAACAATTAGCAACAATTAGCTTATTTAAATCTGAGCTAAAGTCTTCAAAACACAGTTTGAATCTTTTTCTCTTCCTTTTTGTGGAAGTTCAGACAGATGTAACAGAGTTAAAGTCAGGTCCTCTGGACAGTTTCTTTGTGTTGAAACTTCTTCAGTCCCAGTTTGTTTCAGCTTCTCGGGCTGATGAAGTCATTTGGATGAAAGACGAAACGTTTCAACACAAAGAAACCGTCCAGAGAACCTGACTCAACTTTGTTGGATTTTTCTACCTGGATTATTGAAAACAATTTAGGATATTCAGACGAACTGGTTTTCTGTTGCTTTCTGAACTATTCTGGAATTGGTCCAGTTTAAAACCACAATATTCAGATTGTTCATGTTAGTTATGTGCAATATGTGCATTTAAGCTATATTACTACATGTGAAATACTTATTCATACGAATTCATCCTGCTTGCACCGTTTTATAGTTTACTATATTTCTTTTGGACCTTGTAAATATTAAATTTATTTTTCTTTATTTTGGTCTTTATTTCGTTCCCTTACTGCTCGCTTTAGTATTTCTTCTTTGTGTTTTTCACGAGCCCAATCGTTCTTCTAATCCTGAATATTTCATTGCACCGTTGAACTTGTGTTAATCTGCATATGACGAAGAAACGACTTGGTCTGGATTATCCCATAATCAAAGCAAAGCCTTTAATTTATAGTTTTTAATTTGTTAAATCCTAATTCCTTTTTTAAAAGCTTGGAGAAATTACTTGTGTGCCTTTTTTCAATCTACACCACGTTGGACCAGTTCAAGTAAAAAAATAAAATACTTGGGATTTATGTGAAATCTTTTATTCTGTTTGTGAAAATACAAAAAAAATAAATAAAGATTCTGTTTATTTTTGTCACCTGGACCAGATTGGAACTAGTCCAGTAGATCTGGATTAGATACTTTAAAGCACAGGTTCTGATTTGTGAATTGTTTAATTTGAGACAATTCAAGTTGCAACTAAAGAGCTAAATGTACCACTTTTAACTTTCACAAATAAAGTCCTCACAACTCAGAGACTGTGTTTAATAAAAACCTGCTTTAGTATAGATTAACTGAGTCCAGGTTTGGATTCTGAGCATCGTTGAGTTTAAACTAGAAATGGTCTAAAAATTAAAGTAAAATATTTAGCGGAATAGCCCTTTATCGAGCTGGAATCAGGAGCTAACTTCACGGTCATCTGCAGTGAATTCAATCTAAAAGTTCTGCTGATTGTTTTGATTTTAAAGTTTAATAAAGTTAGAGTGACTGAGCGAGACTAAACCATGAGTCCTAAAACGCATGACGACGGGTGGTAACTGCTGCTGTGTGGCTGTCTTTAAACCAGCTGATTAAACACAGTTGTGTAAGTTGTTCTCACAGCTGTGGCTTGAATGTGAGCAACAGGAAGTGTCTTTGACACTTGCTGGTTAAGTTTCAGGCTTTTGTTTATAATCATGCGTAAGAATAAATGCAACGTCATCCTCAGTCAAGTCGGGACATGGCATGCTGGAGCTGTGTTAATATTCCTGGATGGATGAAATTTCACTTTATGCTTGGAGTGTCTCTGATTTTGCTCAGCTGTTCAGTTTTTAACCTGTTTGGTAACTTGGAGTCTTAAAGATCATCATGAGAGTGAATCTGTAACACTTAAAGAAGGAAGACTCTTTTATTGTGTCATGAACTTCTCTGCTTCTCGTGAATTACAGTGAGGTTTAATTTCATTCATTCAGCCTTTACTTCTACAGGTGAGTCACGAGGACTCGTTCACAACAGAGACCTGTTTTAAACAAGGAGCACAGACGAGGTACAGAACAGACGACAATAAACGACCATAAAATATATATAAAATAAAAAGTAAATAAAAATAGTAATATAAAACAAAATCAAGCTACGTTATGAAACGAGGTAAAAAAACTAAAAACAGGAACGTGTCTGCGCTGGTTTTTGCCATAAACTTTGCAGATATTTAAAATCCCTTAGAGAGGTCAAAGGTCGAGAGCTTCAGATGTTTTTACAAGATATTCCAGGAAACCGGAGCGGAGTAGGAGAAGGTCCTTTTGTCTAGTTCAGTCCTCACTGAGGGAACACTGCAGGTAATGATGTCCTGAGAGCGCACGCTGTAGCTGCACTCACACAGAGACATTCAGCATTCAGAGTTAGACAGGATCTGTTCCTGAAAAAGAAACCCAGTTTAACTTTCAGTTTCTTTATCAAGTTTTCCACATGGAGCTTAAAAGAGAGATGTGAGTCGACCAAGATACCCAAATATTTGTTTGAATCGACAAACTCAGTAGGAGCACCATTCAAAGATAAAATAGGAGGAGGAAGAACTGCTGGGACTGACTTCCTGTTTGAAAACGACATCCCTTTGGTCTTATCTGCATTTAGCACCAGTTTGAGACGGAACAAATCAGACTGGATGATGTCGAATGCAGATTGTAGGAGCTGGAAAACCTTAGAAACTGTTTTAGCTCGACAATAAGGTACTGTGTCGTCGGCATAGAAATGTAAGGATGCATCCAGAAATCATCTGACCTACATTACTTATCTAGATTGTAAAGAGAGTGGGTCCTAAGACTGAGCCTTGTGGTACACCATTATTGACAGTACCATTGTGTTGAACGTATTGCTTTCGATTTGAGAGCTTATGACACAAGATATCATGGTCCACAGTGTCAAAAGCTTTAGATGGGTCTAAGAAAAGTGCAGGCAGTCCTTAAGTTAAAGGTCTAAAGTGGGGCGGGGCCTTTATTGCAGAACATCTTTTCTTTTTTAACGTTCTTAAACGTGAATATTGTTTTGACTCCTCTGCTCTTCAGGCTCTTAAGATCCATGACTTCCTAGCAGGACTGTGCAGTTATTTTTGCTCCAAACGATCTTTGTAGGATTCGTGTCGGCTTCATGAGTGAATGAATGAACTATACTTTCTATTTGAGACATTTCGTACATTTGAATGTTACGACAAACATTCTCCCTCTGTTTTCGTATCGATACGACATTTTGAGGACTAACGTTTGCTCTTCTCCTCCTAAGGGAGGGAGAACGCATGTGAGAAAACCTCCTACATGTTCCTGCGTAAGGAGCTGCCGGTGCGGCTGGCCAACACCATGAGGGAAGTCAACCTGCTGCCCGACAACCTGCTGAGTCAGCCCTCCATCAGGCTCGTCCAGAAATGGTGAGAAGATGTTTCTCTGGCTCCTCGTGAAGACGACCAGGTTTCTGCCGTGCCCGTGTTGACGCTGACCCTTGGCTCCTGCTCGCTTCATTAGGTACATGCAGAGCTTCGTGGAGCTGCTGGAGTTTGAGAACAGGAAGCCGGAGGACCCTCACACTCTGAATGAGTGAGTGAACGCAGATGAAACAGATGTGTGGTAACCCCGTGTGTTTACACCCAAACAGTGCACGGGGCTCTGTGCACGTGACAGACTTCCAAGAGTTGTTCAAACCGGCTGCAAAACAATTAGGATTTCTAGTTGCCCTCACCGGGAATTGAATATGAATAAGAACTTTAGTTGAATACGTGGAAGCTCGACCGATTCATCTTCAGTGACGTTCTCCAACTTGAAGTTTGGCCGTTAGTCCAAGTGCTCGTCCGTCTTCATTGTCTGTGGGACCAAAATATCTCATGAACAAGGGGAGATGAATTTTATCATCACTTTAATTTCAAGGTTTGACAGAAACAGAACTCGGTCATTTCCTAATATGAGATGATGAAAGTCTGAAACGTGCGTCCTTTAAATGTAAATCTTTTTACTTGATGTTTATCTTCTCAGTTTTCTGGAGCTCTTGATTGAGATCCGGAACCGTCACAACGACGTGGTCCCCACCATGGCTCAGGGGGTTATCGAGTACAAGGAGAAGTTCGGCTTCGACCCGTTCAGCAGCAGCAACATCCAGTACTTCCTCGACCGCTTCTACACCAACCGCATCTCCTTCCGCATGCTCATCAACCAGCACAGTGGGTCTCACAGGAGCGCTGGTTCGATTCCCGGTCGTCTTGAGCTTGTTTTTAAGGTGCGCGTTTTGTTTCTGTGTTCAGCTCTCCTGTTCGGGAACGACACCAACCCAGCCCATCCCAAACACATCGGCAGCATCGATCCCACCTGCAGCGTATCGGAAGTGGTCAGCGGTGAGTTCCAGAGCCTCCGCTGGTTCTTACCGGATTAAATATTCTACTTGTCGAAAGTGTTCAGTTGAGCTTGCGTCCAGTTTGAAGTTTTCCTGACGTTAGGTGCACCAGACATGAAGGGTCTACAGATTCTGAGTGTTTCGTTCTCGAGAGTTCTGCTCTTTGTTTTCCAAGAATCGTGTTGTTTGAGGCGCATCAAGCTCCTGCACAGACACGACCCCGCGGGCCTCCTGGAAATGTCTTCCAGCTGCGCGTCGACGTGAACGCAGAGTCCGTACGCGAGGAGAACTCTGCCCTCAGCGTCTTCACTGATAATGGTTTTAAAACGTTTCCACGTGGCTCCGCTCTGACGTGATGAGAACTTTGTGCCCAAAAAACATCTTTTCATTGTTAAATACCAAAATCATGACGTAATGCTAAGCCTGAAAATCTTCTTTTGACCCGATTAGAATCTGTTTCTTGCCTTTGTGTGTATTTAGGAGTGGGACCGGGGAGTTGGATATTGTTTGGATGCTTCTTTAACTTTACACGTGTGCTCTTTGACTGCAGAGTCTCATCAATCGTCCTCAGTCCTTGGCAGTGAAACTCATTTATGATTTGTTATCTCAGCCAGTTTTCTTACTCCGTCAGCCATTAAGCTCAGATTTACCTTGGCTTTGAACTTCCTAAAATAACACGTCTCTGCGCTGGTGCTCACATCTGACCCGAGTTCTTCTTGACGAGTTTTTAGTGCAGACGTGTCGTTCTGAGTCGTTTCCTCCGTCACACAAACGCACGTTAACGACACTTTTTCAAGCGTTCCAGCAGCGTGGATCAAAGCTGCGCTCCGAGTGACCCCACGACGCGACGGCAGCTACGCCCGTGACCTGCAGCTGGAAGACGAGCCGAAACGCGTCGAGCTGTTTTTAACGCTGAGTCATGCTGTTCTGGCTCTCCCATCAGATGCCTACGACACGGCCAAGATGCTGTGTGAGAAGTACTACTCAGCTGCTCCGGAGCTCACGATCGAGGAGTTCAACAGTAAGAGACTTTAACTGTTCATCCCTTTAGGGTGTCGAACGAACGTTTCCAAAAGGAGCCGAGTTTTTAAAACTTTATCCGAACCACAGTCCACTTTCAGCTGATGCAGTAACTCGAGTCAGGTCTCTTGAAAATGAGTCCTCGTGACTCGGTGAGACTGCCTGTATAAATAAAGGGTAAATAAAATATATCTGATATCTTTTCTCGGTTGCAGGTTCATGAACAAGAGTTTGTCTCATGACGTTCTGTTGCTCGTCCCACATCAGGATCAGTAATGACAGAATGATCCAGCTGCCAAGAGAAGTCTACACTAAACGATGTATTCATCAGTATTTTTAAAGAAAATTAAACGTTTTACATTTAAACTATCATCTTGGGGACCAGGTTTGGCTCGTGGCTCTTGAGTTGGACATGTGTGGATGTGTTCCGTTACCGTTTTGTGGACGGTTGCTCGTTTACTTCCAAAGAATCAACCCCAAATTCCAAAAAAAAGTTTGGATGTCGTGCTAAATTTAAATAAAACGGAACTAAACGGTTTGTAAATCTCATGAACCCAAATTAATTAAACCTTTTAAAAAAAAAAACATGTAATTCTGTTCTGGGCATCTCTGCACGGGCTCAGGAACATTTCCACAAATTGTCTGTAAACACATTAAACTCATTAAGCCACCCACTGATGCTGGTTAAAGCTCTATCGTGCAAAGAAGCAAAAGGTGAGCTCCATCCAGAAACCATCTTCTCTGCACCAAAGTTAATGAATATAAAATGAGAAAATGGAAAACTAAAGAGGCGTAAAGCCTGCCTCTCTGATGCTATGGAGGTGCATCAGCAGCTTACACATCAATGCATAAAAGTGCACGCAGGCTTTTAGCACAGCTTGTGCTTATTGCAGGGAAGACCTTGGATGTGTCAGCAACGATTAACCTCATCCTGTATCCGTAGAAGAGTTTCTAAATGAAAACGATGGACAGACGATGAAAATAAAAACTCGGCAAAGACAACGGAGGACTGTTGAACAGAATCACATCAGGGCAGAGGGGACAACGTCCCCCTCCACAAGCTTCAGCCTCACACTCTGTTGTTACAGAACAAGGGAGGCTTCACAATGATAAACATGCTCATCAGTCAAAATTACGTTTTTCCTCCCAAAACCAGATGTAGTTTCTTCTTTTAAACATGTGACGTGTTGTGAACAGGATCTGGCTTTATTACAAACCATTGAATTTTAATTTTAGTTGTTGCACACCGTCCCGACTTCTTTGCACTTGGGGTGTTTCATCGTTTCTTGTGCTCCGCAGTGAAGACTCCTAAGAAGCCCATCCAGGTGGTGTACGTGCCCTCCCACCTGTTCCACATGCTGTTTGAGCTCTTCAAGGTGAGCAGAGCTGCACTGCTGCCATTTGTCCAACTGTAACCTTTAAATGCAGTCAACTGCAGCGTGGCTCACATTTGAGAAGCGCTCCTGTCGAGCTCAGTTAATCGACTCTGCGGGCGTTTCAGAACTCGATGAGGGCGACCGTCGAGCACCACGAGAACACTAACGAAGGACTGCCGCCAGTAAAAGCACGAGTCACTCTGGGGAAAGAAGATCTCTCGATAAAGGTACACGCGTAGTATCCTTTATACAAATATTTAGTAATATTTGACGTTTTTCTGTCCCAGTTCTAATTCTGTCCATCCGTCTTCAGATCAGTGACAGAGGAGGAGGAGTTGCTCTGAGGAAGATCGATCGCCTCTTTAACTACATGTACTCCACTGCCCCAACGCCGAGCCTGGAGCCCGGAGCGGTCCCGCTGGTCCGTGCCTTCACAAAATCCAATCTGTGTCCAGTGTTTGCCTTCCCCACAAAGAAAACCTGCCTTATCTCACAGTTTTAACAAAAGGAACGGCGTTTGAGTTGCAGTTGTTTGCCTTTTGCTCTCGTTGCAGGCTGGTTTTGGATACGGTTTACCCATTTCACGGCTGTATGCCCGATACTTTCAGGGGGACCTGAAGCTCTACTCCATGGAGGGGGTGGGCACGGACGCGGTCATCTATCTGAAGGTAGCGTAACGTACACGAAAATGGTTGTAATGGCAACTCTTCATCCAGAGCTCTAAAAGCAATCAAAGGGCCCCGTAGAGAATTAGAAAAGAAATTTTATTTAAAACTTTTTACAGACTTTTTCTTTTTGTAGCATCGTTAGCATGCTGATAAAAATATGTCTCCCTAATAGTCTTTGGAATATACGACATTCTGTAAACTGACTCTTCTGACAATGTGTTCGCCGTAATATGCACAAAAGTCTTCAGGGCTCAGTTGAGTTCTGTAAACACAACCTAAAAAAATCTTAATCTTAATCCAAATATTTTTTAATGTGTTTGTCCAAGATGTTTAATTTCAAGTTTAAGTTTTATTGAAACTTAATTCAAAGTTGTTTTCTTCTTAATGAAAAATATTGGGGGCCGGATGGAGATTGTCCAGGGGCCACTTTTTGCCCACGGGCCATATGTTGCCCACGTCTGTTTCAGAGTCAAATTAATTCAAATTAATTCCGCTGCAGCTAAATGAACATTAGCCAAAACAATTTTAACTATATCTCAGCTGATATTGAGCTGGTGTGGTTGTAGCTGAAATTTACAGCAGTGGTCCCAACCCTGGTCCTTGAGGAACGCCATCCTGCGTGTTTTAGTCCAGCACACCTGATTTGAATCAATGGGTGACTGACAGGCTTCCGTAGAAAATGATGACGCAATTAAATCAGTGAATCAGGTGTGTTGGAGCAGGGAAACAACTAAAACATGCAGGATGGCGTTCCTCAAGGACTCGTGTTGGGACCACTGATTTACAGTACCTGGAAGGAAGTGAACTTGCATTCCTTGGAGGAATGGAAAGCCTTTTGTGTTTTGGTAATACCGAGGCTCATCTTAACTTGTGACTGCAAATGACTGATGGAAACCCTTCTGTTTTCGATAAACTGTGAGTTTTAATTTGCTGTTTTGTTTTTGGTTCCCTCATTTAAAGGCTCTTTCCAGTGAGTCCTTTGAGCGCCTGCCCGTGTTCAACAAGTCAGCTTGGCGACATTACAAGACCAGCCCGGAGGCGGACGACTGGAGCAACCCCAGCACGGAGCCACGTGATGCCAGCAAGCCCAACTACAAAGCCAACAGATAATTCTGCACGGCCCGTTAGCGTAGCCCCTCTGCTGGGAGCCGCTCGGTGGGGAGCATGCACGCTAAGGACAAGTTGCCTTTGGGTGGTTCTTCTGTTTAGGATTAGACTCGCGTTTACACTCCACTAGTTCTAGGTTTGTTTCGGTGGAATGACTTAAATCTGCACCCAACGGCAACGGCCTTCTTTTAGCGTAGCTTTCGATGTTTGTGTCTCTAAACTGACTTTGAGACGAGCTCCTCTAGATCTTAGATTTCCGGTGAAACGTCGTTTGTGAATTGGTGACTCTTGACAAACGTTCTTCACGTTCTCGAGCTAGATTCACTGCGTCACCGCCGTCTCTCCCTCCGTCTCCTGTGCTTTGGCTCGTCGCCGCGTTGCTGAGCGAGCGGTTACTCCTTGTAGCTGAATAAGCCGTGCGCTGCTGACGGAGTGTCTTTCTCCTCCTCGGTAAAGGCTTTAATTCTGTCTCTCCCCCAACGCAGACTCCAGGGGGTCAGAGCCAAGGGAAAGGTTTCATTTCCTCTCTTTGGGGAGTTACTAACCGTTTGGCATCAGCATGGCAAAGACTCATTTTTTTGGTTGCACTTTTTTTTTTAAAGTCAGGGAAATTGTAAACGATGAATATTTATAAATGAGAATTTAATATCACCGTTAGTGGAAGAACAACGAAGGAATCGATGCGTTAAGATTTCACAACACGTATTTTTTTCTGTGTGAAAGAAAGTCTCACTCCTGGAAGAGGTGATGTTTTTAGATATCTGCCTTCGTGGCTCTGCTGGTACAGTTTTAAAAGAAAGATGTGGGAATGTACGAGTTTTCTGTTTTATATTTTATTTAGCTTTAAAAAGAAACAACCAGCCGCTAACCACTGACTGGTCCTCGGGTATTTTTGTGCCCAGTCCAGCTGTAAGGCCTACAGGACCAAACGAGTGTCTGCCAGTCAGCGCGGTCTGCTGAGCAGCTGGAACAAAACCAGCCAGATGTTCGCTCAGATCCTCACAGAAAGAGCCGGTTGCTTCTTCTAAGGATCCGACTGCATCTCTTCGTTTCGTGCTGCTGTGAGGGAAAACATGCTAACTGCACGACTCGTTATCCAAACCCTGCGTTCGGCTTCAGTCTCGTGTCTCACTTGAATTCCTGACCCTCTCGAATGAGTCGGAACAAAGTTCGTACCTGTTTTTATTCTTTGGAGGGTTAAACGTGAATTGGAAGCTAGCTGACAGATAATTTTCTGTTGATGTTTTTATGCGTACATGTAGCTAAATATTTGTTTCTTATTTATAAAATGTAGTCGAGTGGCACACGGAGGCGAGGCGATGGAGGGAGCAGAAACATTTCCAGTCAGAAGGGTGCGTTTTCATCGTGGGCACAGATGTCGTTAATTCGCTGCTTTTAATGAATCATTTGAACCGTTACTTTTCCAAGGTGGAGTGATAAAACACACAACTTCAATGAGTTTTTAAATAAAACAAGAATTGACTGAACAAGTTTAAACTTATCCAGGACTTTCTCTAATTCACTCAGGCTCAAATGTATACATACACCCCCTACAAACACCAGATAAAACGTCCCTGGACCACAGGCGTTTTGTTCCAGTCAGAAGCTTCTGGCTGATATTGGATCAATATATCAGTAGAGTTTGTTTAATTTGGTTATCCAGTTTGGAAGGATTCTTACCTGGGTCTATGTTCAGGGCGTTAGAAAGTCCATTTAGAAGCTAAAAGTTAGCTGCTTTATCCAGTCAGAGACTAGCTGTGATGCATTTGGACCATGGTCCTGTTGGAATATTGTGTTCAATGCTGGTCTTTGACGGCCGCTGTCCTGCGTGTTTTCCTCGTTTCCTGCTCCACCGCATCTGAGTCGGTGACTGAATGACCTCTTTATGCTCTGCAGAAGTCTTCTTCACCCATTCAATCAAACTGGGTGTGCTGGAAACGTCTAAAACATGCAGGAGAGTGGTCGTCATGAAGGCGAAGAGTTTGAAGGTAGTCCTTCATTATTCCATCCACAGCATGATGCTACTGCAGCCATGCTTGACAGTTGGTTCAGAGTCTTTAGGTCTGAACGTCTGGCTTGGACCAATGTCCTCGTCGTTTTGGACACTTTCTCCAGGAGGACCTTTGTTCTTGTGGACAGCTGCAGATCTCAGTCCAGCTTGAAGGTGTCATTGGAAGCAGGAGATTCTTTTTTGGTCCTCTTCATCCAGGGTGATGTGAGACTGGCTTCACTGTGGACGGAGACGGTGGGGTCTGAGCCGTTCCCAGTTCACGACAGGCTCGTGTTCCGGTGGTCCCTGGATTGTTCCCTGGATTGTTCCGGAACATCGTAGCTCAATCTCCTTTCATCCGAGGGTCACTGTTTCTGTTTTCTTCAAGACAAACACTACCACGGGAGGGTACGACACCCCAGAAGCTTCTGCAACACGTTTCAACAGAGTTAGGTGAATATATGCAAACGTGCAGACGGACCAGAAAAAAGTCCATTACTATTCAAGCCTGTGCACCCAACACTGTTTAAAAACCAGTCAGATAGTTTGTTTCATCAATCCAGGTTGGAAAAAGACATTTCATTAAAAACTCCAAGTTCAAAACATTTCTGCCCATGGGTGTATGTAAACTTCTGACCACCACTGTACATTCTTCAACGTGTGCGTGCACTGAAATATGAAATAAAAGCTACATTTTGTCACGTGTCCGTGCTCTTGACCCGGCCCGTGTGTGTTCTGTACTTCAAACACTGCGACACCGGTCGAACCAGGACCCGAGCTGAAAGCAGGCGACGAGACGCTACAAGTCTGAGGATCGTTCTCGTCTCCTTCAGCTTCTTCAGATGTGAAACGAGAAGAGTTTGATGTTGAAAGCTTCAACGTCCTGCAGGTTTTCCACATTTCAGACGCTCTGTGTAAGATTTGATCACTGCCAACGCTTCTGAGACCTGCAGTGAAACATGTAGCCGTTGATGTGTTGCTAAATGTTCAGGTCTCACTTAGACCAAGAGAAGATAAACCACTCCACCGTCATTAAGCTGTACTATCGTCCGAGAACGTTACTACTATAACCTGTACGCTGTGTATAAATACCTGTGCAGTGATTCCTGTTTTTACATGCGAGTAAAGCAAGTGTCCCCACAAATACACAACATTCTGCAAGAAGTCGACTTAACAAAACTTCTGTCAATCCTGAAAATAAAGAAAACTTCTGTGTGATTGTTGTTGTTCTGTGTTTGAGTGCTTCCTCCACCATGTACAAGCAGGGCGCCCCGCCCTGTCAAAGGAACTGAACACCCCCCCACAACTCCCGGCACAGACGTAGCACTAATGCATCTGTGCACAATACAGATGTGCTAGCTAAAGAGCTACAGAGGTAGCACATCGTTTCCCTCACGCTCAGTCCCCCCCCAGCTCCAAAACTTATAGCAACACAAATGTGCCCCCCCACGACAAAAATCACAGAATATGAGCGCCCTGGCAAGGAAAGTAAAACTGGAGAAACGCTGAACACGGTGGAAGTTTTATTTCATTTATGTTTTCCTGTTTGTACTTTTCTTCTTCTGCTACTTCAGGAAACGTTTGTTTAACTGTTGTTATAACATTTATACATTTATTATTATTTCACTTTATTTACAAAAAAATACACCCTATAAATACACCGAGATCTCTTTAGTTCATTCAAAACATTTTTTTGAACTCGGCTCGAGTATTGTGATTCTTTTAGCTACTGTCTTGTTAGTTTGAGCTTTTCTTTGGCTACATTTAGCTTTTAGCTACTGTTTTCATTATTTTAAGTTTTAGCTACTGTTTTGAATATTTTAGCTTTTAGCTACTGTTTTGATTATTTTAACT